AAAAAAAAAAAAAAGAACATTGTTTTGAAAAATGTGACAAGAAAAGTGATAAAAATTGTTGCAAAAATGTCACGGAAACATCAACAACACCACCAACAGCAATTAGTACAGCAACAGCAGCAGCAATTAGTCTAATAGGTTGTCGTTTTGAAGTTAAATTCTTAAGTTTTGCAAGAAAAAACAGAACAAAAGATTTATCATTGTTGCCAACAGAACTTTAATCTAAACCGAAAAAATTGATGTCACTGACCGAATACCGCACTACTTCTCTTGTTTTTTGTTGTTGTTTCTTTACTTTGATTCTATGATACAGCTGTTGTCGTATCGTTTTAATAAATATAAGAAGAACAAAAAAAATGTACAAAATTTTTTGTGTTGTCAACTAATTCAACTAAAAAATTCTTCCTTTTATCCCTCTCTTTTTTTTTCCTATCTTTTATTGTTTAAATGTCATCAAAAAATGAAATGAACAGCAGCAACAACAGTAAAAAATTCATCAAAGTTTCTGTACACGCCGACAGGACGGGGAAGTAAAGGGGGTGAAGGGGGGGGGGGAGAGAAGTGCGGAAGTGAACGAAAGAGAAGAAGGAAAAGGTTAAAATTTTTGCAATATTTTGATCAAATAAGGGCAAAAAAAAAGACAATAACCATAAAAATTAAAAATAAAAAAAAAAAGCAGAGATTTTTTTGTCGTCTATTTAATCACTGTTTTTTTTTTTCTGTCCCAACATAAAAATTTGCTTTGAAAAAAAAAAGAACTTTTATAACTTTTATTGATCATTTATGCCAGTTTTCTTCCTTTTTTTTCTTCATGTCCACTCAATAAACAATAACCCTAATAAAATATATAATTGTAGACAGGTTAAAAGATAAGACAAAAAAAAACTTAGAAATTATTCTTTTCAAAAGTTTACTAAATCTAAGCAAAATAGCATTTTTTATATTTGCCATTTATTGACCAATCATAAAAATCATAATTTTAAGTACAACAATTTTTGAACAATGTTGTTGTTCGGGCTACAGCTATTGAACTTAAAATCTGTTAAGAATCAGAATCCATTTAACCAGCAGTCAGATACTATCTGTTGCAATAAAAGCCACTGCCTTTTGCTTATGCCACAACAGTCAACGTTACAACGTATATAACTTCAGACAGTATATTTATTCAAATTTTTGCCAGTCTTCTCATTTCTCACAACCCCACTCCTCTGCCATTCGCTTTTTCTTGGAAAATATGCAACAATTATATAACTTAGTAAAAATTTTTGAGAGAAAAAAAAACAAAAGCGCTTATTTTACAAAAGATTTTTTAGTTTATACATTAACTGTATATTTAAGTGGTATCCAAAAACAGCTATTTGGTACATAAACAAAGAGAAAAAAAATGGATGTATTTAAGTCGGTAATTGTTTTGCAAAGTTAATATCATTTTCAGAAATATTGTTGCTATTTTGGTGAAATGTTAGTTTATTTTTAAACTTTCTTTATTTGCCGTATCAAAACACGTTTGCTTTCACATTTTTTCTCTTCCTCCTTCTCACTTTTTTCTTTCTTCAATCTTCTTAGCCTTCTGACTTCTTGTAGAATATAAACTGTAAATGAAGCGGGAAATAGTGTTGCAAAACTTACGGCAATTCGGCAGAAATTGTTGCACTACCAGTGCCTTCTGGACGTTGAAACCAGTCGGATAGACCGGGAATTTTATGAGCATTACTGGTGAATCTAGCGTGAAATTCAATTGCTTTACCCGACTTCATCAAACTGTGTAATTCACTTTTGTTAGTCGGTAGACTGAAATGCAATATATATATATTATTCATTTTGGCCACTCTTTGCATCATTTTTTTAGAAGCAATAAAAATCAGTCATTGTTTGCCACTGAAACGAAAACATAAGACGGTAGTCCTGAAGTACAGATGTGAATTACTTGAAGTTAATACACAGCATATTCTACTGCTTTTTTTTTCAACTGGTTTTTTTTTTCCCCCTTCATATGCATATTTACAGTGGTAAAGTGGAGATTCTGAAGTTAATTATGAAAGAGATTGGTTTTTTTTTCTTTCTTTAGAGGAGGAGTGGGTGTATTTACGGTTTTCTTTCATCGCTTTGCTTTGTCTGCTAAATGTAATTTCCAGCAAAACATATTTTCAGAGTCCAAAAAAAAAAGAAAAGAAGAAAAGGCAAAAGCCAAATGCTCACTTCTGAACATTCTGGTCAACCTCAAAAATGCGAAAGACCAAAGCAGTTTTCGGTCTTTTCGCCAATTCGGTTCGTGCCAATTCACGCATCCGTCGTTCAAACCCGTTTGAGAAGACAAACTCGTAATCAGCCATTAAAACATACTTTGAACGCACAAACTAAACATACAATTGCTCTTCTAAGTATTTTGACACTCCGGAAGAAAAGAGGGAGAGAGAGAGAGAGAAAAAAAATAAAAAAGCATATTTATTGTATTAAAATAAAATAATACAATCTTTTTTTTTCAATTCCTCATTGATTCCAGAAATAATTGATGTTTAATGGATAAAAGGAAAACAGTTGAAAAGTTTTTTTTTTTCACTTCACAAATACGCTAATAAACGTAACAACAATTAAAATATCCGTACTGTTCCAAAAAAAAGACAGTTTCTTCTTCTACAATGAAAATCAAAAAGACAACTAATTATCAGAATATTAAAGTTGATTAAAACTGAAACGACAAGAAAAAAACATCCTGTACCATTCTAGCTGCATTTCTAACAACATTAACTGGATATTCAAATTTGGTTTGATTTTTTCTTTGAAGTTTTGAGACGGCATTGATGTTACAACCAATTCCCGAATAAAATATTATATGACAGCTTATTTTTTCTACCACTTGTCGTGGAAGTTTGGTAAGCTGAAAAAAAAAAATTGTGGAATGGTTACAAAAATTGTGTATTAACAGCATAAATTTTAGACTTACAAAAAAAGCAACTCCGTTTTCTTTTCAATTTGTCAACTTTATGAAAGTTTAATCCTAAACTACAAGCATTCGTTGTATCCAAAAAGTAAAAATGCCCTTTTTTTCAACTGAGCATTTTCTAAAAGCTGTAAACTGTATATTCAAAACCTTTTACCTGAGCTTCCACATTTCGGATATTCTCAAAAACATTGTCTGTTCGTACCATAACAGCAAGTGTTATAGGACCATCCCATGCTTCAACCTGAAACGACATTTACTTAGTAGACTGATGCACAATAAACAGTCCAGGAAAAGAAAGTTTTATCAATTAATCTTAATAACTTCACATTAGCCAGTGTAAAGATTATAAGCGTAAATTTTCACAATAAATTGGTATACCATATTGTTCAGTTTACCCATACAGCTGTAAAAACAAGCGTTCTAAACAAAAAAAAGAAAAAGACAAAGCCAAATTTTTCTTGCAAAACAAGATTTTTTTTTACCTGCTCAGTAATTCTGGCATCAAAATAGTCATAGCTAAGGTGAAATGTCAACGTAATTCGTTCATGTATTTCAAGATTATCTTCATAAATATTACGTGTTATATACGGCAAAATACAATAATCTTTATAATAGACAAATCTGAAAACAAAAAAAAAATTTTATTTTAGTCAACAATTTCTCTGCAGATAATAGATCTATCCCAATATTCTGTTGCTAAAATTGTTAAGTGTGTTTTGTAGTCTATAA